CAGCCTAGGATAGCCAGGGTGCAGCTTGGAGGGGGCTGGGTGTCAGGGGCTCAGGGAGGGTGGGAGCAGCATTTGAGGGTTGGTGGGACAGAGCCGACCAGTACGTCTGGGAAGCCATCCCGAGGCCAAGGGTAAACTGAGGCTCCGCAGGCTCCGGGAAGCCGGTTGCCTGGGTTGCCTGGTGCGTGAGGAGGAGGTCTGGGCCCAGGAGCCCCTTGGGTGGTCTCGGCTCTGCCCAGAGCCCACCTCACAGCTGTCATTTTCTTCCCACACTTGCCTGGTTGGCGTTGGCGGACCTGTTCCCTCTGATGTGTCCCCCCCCCCCTGAGGCTGCGGGCTCGGTGGGGCGGGAACTGTGTTTGTCTCACTGGCTGCTGGGCGAGGCGGGGCAGCGGAAGGGGAAGGACAGAGGGTGACGTGGGTGCGTGGGTGTGTAGGTGATGCAGCTGGGTCACAGCAGGAGTGGGCAGCGAGCACGATGGTAGGGACCCAGCTGTGCTTGAGGGTAGGTAGCCAAGGCTGGGAGGTGAGGTGGCTGGGGAGGTGAGGTGGCTGGGGAGGTGAGGTGGCTGGGGAGGTGAGGTGAGGTGGCGGCTCGGAGAGGCAGGGAGAGGGCTGCTGTGGGCACCGGGGATGGGGCAGGGCTGGAGTGAGGGGCACAGTGAGCTGGGATTGCAGGTCTCGGAAGTGCGAGGGGCCGAGGCGGATCAGCGGTGGCCCAGCGGGTGGCTAGCGGAGAGGGCGGGTTATTCATGCCGGGTCTTTATCTCCTGAGCGCCCCGGGCTCAGCTTCCTGGGGTCTTAGAGGGGCCTCCAGTCCGTGGGGAAATAGAGCCTCAAGAGCTGGGGCCCTGGAAGTCTTTCTGGAGGAGAGGGGACGTGAGTCCCCCTCCCCGAGTGCCCCGTGCTGTGTGCAGCTAGCTGGCCACCTTGGTGGGCACGGCACCCCCCCCTCCCTTGCCCAGAGATCAGACATACGGCCTGTCGGGGCCACGCAGCCAGTTTTTTTTGGGGGGGAGGCTTGGTCTAGGGCACGGCACTGCCGCCTCTGGGCCTCCGTGTGCCCACCCAACGCCGTGGAGAAGCAAAAGTGGGGACCCTTGTAAGATTGCCATCTGGAAGTCGGCTTCATAAGGTGGGTGCTGACGGGCGCTCCCTTCTCTGGGGTCCTGTGAGCCGCCCCAAACCCTGCCGGCTCTGTGGTCTACAGGTGACTCCTCACGGACTTGCTTCCCACGACGCGGGGAGTGATGCTAGAGGCGCAGGGACTGCAGGGCCGGGCTGTCTCCGGAGTCCCTGACCCCAGGGGCCCTCTGCCTGGGGCCGCCCGCTGGGAGGAGTGTGTGTGCGTGCGTGTGTGTGTGTGTGTGTGTGTGCGCGTGTGCGTGTGTGTGACGATGTGTGGGTGTGCGCGCGTGCACGCGCGAATGTG